TAGTTCCTATATATATATATATATATATATATATATATATATATTTATATATATATATATATATATATATATTATATATATATATATATATATATATATATATATATATATATATATATATATATATATATATATATATATATATATTGTCATTCACATACTGACTGTTTCTGCTATTTCACAGCACGTCAGTGTAGTTAGTCAACCGATTGCCTCAAGACGAGATTTAGTATCAGTCGGAGATTTTATGGCTAAGTCATTGGCGCACGGTAGGGATGCAAGTGAATTTAGACGTATTTATTTTTAGACAAATTTCACCAAAACCAAGGAAATAAAGCCATTAACACGCAATGCGTGTGTTTCTGAGTGTAGATGTATATAAGCAAAAGAAAACATTATTAAGGAGTAAAAACAACAAAAGTACATGTGGTACGAAGGCAGAAGATAATGATTGTCATTGCATTTAAATTTTTGAAGCTCAAACTTGACTGGAAATCAAGAATCCAGAAGAGATTTCTCCAAGCGAGAAGTGCGATAGAAAAAAAAAAAAAAAACGTTAGAATAGAACTTACATGAAGGCATTTCAATTAAACGTGCGATTTAGGATTCGCGATGGGCATCTAAATCTCTCTCACACACAAATATTCGCATACACATATAATGACGCACACACATTCACACACTATTACACACTCATTCACGCACACGTACGTACATATTCACACACAAGCACATAAACTAACGTACATTTACAAAAAAAACAACTGAATGGTTATTTCTTTCTTCGCAACTGAACACATCTCTCTATATTTAAACTGCTCTCTATTAATCACCACAGAGATCCTTCCCTGCCCTCCATTAGAATGTCTGACGCTCAACTTCTCGAGAGCAACTCTCTGCGGCTGCTCGGTCTCACGTTGACTGCTGACCTGAGATGGAACAAATACATTGCATCAATTACTTCGTCTACCGCAAGGAAAGTTGGCTCCCTGTGCTGCGTCAGGAATTTTTTCTCCCCGGAATCGATCCTTCAGGTCTACAAATCAACAATTCGCCCTTGCATGGAGTATTGCTACCATATATGTTCTGGAGCCCCTTCTGTTTGCCTCGGGGTTCTTGATAAGATCCAGAGGTGGATATGCAATATAATTGGTCCTGTTCTGGCATCTCGTCTACAGTCGCTCTCTCACAGACGCGCCGTCGCCTCTCTCTGTCTGTTTTACAAATAATTTCATGGCAATTGCTCCGAGGAGCTGCATTCGCTGGTTCCCAGACTTCATGAATTCAAACGCCCTACGAGGCTGGCATCCCGCTCTCACCCCTTCACTGTCGAAACTCCTAAATGTAGCCGTCTCTTCTACTCCAATAGCTTCATGTCTCGCACCTCTCGCCTGTGGAAGTCCCTTCCCTATTCCAGTTTCCCTGATAGCTTTAATCTCCAACTATTCAAATGTAATGTCAATCGACATCTCCATTTGCCTTGATCTATCCACTACCCTTCTCCTCATCCTTTCCTCTATCACTCCTAATCTGATCTTGCTCCAAATCTTCTGTAACCCCTTGCGTCCTAGTGGCTTCCCGCCTTGCTTGGGGTGAAACGCTTAAAAAAATCTCTGAGATGAGGTATTATGATTACTTACATTATTTGAACCTTCATCCTCTTCTTCATTGCCATATTCACAACGTTTCGACCGTTGTACGCTCCGGCCTTCTTCAAGTGATTGGATCTCTGAGATGAGGTATTATGATTATTACATTATTTACATTATTCGGGCCTTTATCCTCCTCTTCATTGCAATATTCACAACGTTTCGACCGTTGTACGCTCCGGCCTTTTTCAAGTGACTGGATCTCTGAGATGAGGTATTATGATTACTTACATTATTTACATTATTCGGACCGTTATCCTGCTCTTCACTGAAATATTCACAACGTTTCGACCGTTGTACGCCCCGGCCTCCATCAGTTGATTGGAATTTCAAACCGAACCATTTATTTCGTCCAGCGGGGTAGATTGTTCTAGTTTCATGTGCCATGCCTCTTCCTGATGTCTCGGTTATATCTCTTTAACTGGCCTGGTACTGAACTCACAATTCTTTGGGTCTAGTCACTGGATCTAAGCAACGTCTTTATCCACTGGGCCATGTGTCTTTGAAGAAGGTCAGAGCGTACAACGGACGAAACGTTGTAAATATGTCAAATTTGAATGTCAAATCTCCGGTGGGCAGTGACCGACCACGATTGCCAGTTTCAAGCACAGTGAAGCAATCATCGGGCGGTTGGTCCTGATGATTGCGTGAAAGCGAAAGAAACGGGAAGTCGTGTTCGGTCACTATTCACCGATGATTTGACTTAGAATATATTAAAGCTCTGCAAATTTTATGCTGTTGAGCACTTTTTTTCCAATGTGCAATATCAGGCAGACTCTTTTTGGAAGCTGCTTATTCTTATTTCTAATTATATATATATATATATATATATATATATATATATATATATA